CTTCTGGTATCCTCTGCTTTCAGCCAAGATCCATAGTCAATAAAATAAAAATATACATCCTTTTGGTGTTCTCAGCTTCCATCCAGGGTCCATCTGACATGTTCCTTACTGTTCACCAACACAGTTCAAAGGCATCACTCTTTGCATGTCCATCATTCATTCATTGCACATTCATACACTAGTCACCTATTAAAAGGAATGAAGCAATGATATATGTGCTGACATAGAAGAGCCTTAAAAATACACTCAAGTGAAGAAAAGAGTCACGGGGCTTCATGTGCTATATGATTCCACTTACATGAAGTATCTCGCACGGAGAACCACAGACAGACGGACAGGGGTAAGCATCAAAGAGGACGTTGTGGGTGGAGCCAGAGGGTGTCTTTGGACATAAAGCGATTCCAAAATGGACTGCGCTTATATAAGTGCCGCTCTGAACATCCTGCATGAACAACCCCATGACCTCTTTACAGCAACGACTTGTGTGTAGTATGTGCATTTAATTTCAATAATGCTGGTGCAGAAGCAAGCGACAGGGAAGAAACAGGAATGGAGCTTAAAAGCCTAACAGATAGGGAGATCTTGATGTTCGATGTGTCCAGTACTGTTCTCAGCCAGTGTGATCCCATGGCTCAGTGGTCAGCCACTGAGGGACGGTCAGTGGTTCACCAGCCAATAGCTCTGAGAAGCATTGGCCCCTCCGTGAGCAGCTCAGGGAGTCCTAGGAATGCTCTGCTTCATCTCTTGCGGTCGTTGTTGTTTGGTGCCATCGAGTTAAGTGTGACTTACAGCAAACCTATAAACAACAGAACTGCTTCAAACAAGAGAAAGAAAAAACCAAAATTAATGTCAGTAGAGACTCTGAAAATTGCACTAGAGCATGAGAAGGCAAAAAAAGTGAAAACATGCCAAGGTGAGAGAGCTGAATAGACTATTTTAAAGGGCACCTCGAGAAGACAAAGTATTATAATGGAATGTGCAGAAAGCTAGAATTGGAGAATAAAAGGGAAGAGTTGGCTCTGTATTTCTCACGCTGAGGGACCTGAAAAAGAAATTTAAGCCTCGAGTTGTAATATTGAAAGATGCTATGGGAATCCCAGAACAGTTGTGTTAATGCGAATCCTATACTTGAACCAGGAGGAGGCAGTCGTCAGAACAGAGCAAGGAAACACTGCATGGTTCAAAATTGGGGAGGGTGTATACCAAGGATGTGTCCTATCTCCATACCTTTCCAACCTGTATGCAGAACAGATTATCTAGGAGGCTGGGCTCTATGAAGAGAAATGCGGCATCAGGATTGGTGGAAGATTCATCAACAATCTGCGTTATGCAGATGACACAACCCTGCTTGTAGAAACTGAGGAGGACCTGAAGTGCATGCTGCAGAAGGTCAAGGACTGCAGCCTTCACCGTGGATTGAAGCTCAATGTGAAGAAGACAAAGATTCTCACCACTGGACCAATTGGCAGCATCAGGATGGATGGTGAAGAGATTGACATTGTTGACAGCTTTAGTTTGCTTGGCTCCACAGTCAACACTCTTGGCACCAGTAGCCAGGAAATTAAAAGACGTATTGCTACTGGGAATATACTCCAAAGAATCCATAACCATCACCCAAGCACACCTATGTTTATCGCAGCTTTGGTTACAATAGCAAAGAGTTGGAAACAACCTAAGTGCCCATCAACAAACGAATGGATAGAGAAGCTGTGGTATAGTCACACAATGGAATACTATGCTGCATTGAAAAACAAGGAACTCATGCAATATTATTAAAAATGGGTGACCCTGGAGGACATTATGCTGAGTGAAATATCTCAGTCACAAAAAGACAAATACAGCATATGCCACTGTTATAAAACAGGAACTGACATGGGGGCTGGAGGGAAACTGCGATGATAATCTACATGGCATTGAAACAGATGAGGGAGAGAACTATATAAAAGGAATATATAACTAGGTATTGTTGGCATGACTAGAGTCCAGAATAACAGCTGCATAGTAAAGTAGTCGGGGCTGGGGGAGGCTGTATAACAACGAAAGAACTTTTTTCCCCCAAGGAAAAAAGTTATCTGGAGCGGAGGAAAGGGGGTAGGGAGGAAAATGTGCAACAATGAACGATTGGAAACCCAAGTTCTTTAGAAAAATTTCATTAAATTATCAATTTTAAAAAAAGAGATTAACAATTTCGGCTAGCTCGGCTACACAATCAACATTCATGGCATCAGAAGTCAGGAAATCAAAGTTGACTGAGTTACATTGGGAAAATATGCTGTCAGGGACCTCTCCAGAGAGCTGAAAAGCAACAATGCCAGCCTGGAGACTAAGGTGCGCCCTTTTCGGGCCACGGTCTTCACAATTACTTGCTATGCATCAAAGGGATGGACAATGAAAAATGAAGACAGAATAGATGTCTGCGAGTTGTCGTGCTGCAAAAGGAGTCTTGAACATACCATGAACTGCCAATAGAACAAACAGATCTGTCCCGTAGAGTGAAACCAAGTTGGTCTTTGGAAGGAAGGATTTTGAACCTGTCTGATATACTTTAGGCATGTGGCCAGGAGGGATCAGTCCTTGGAGAAGGACATGGCTGGAAGGATGAATGGACAGTGCAGGAAGACCTTAGATGAGATGAATTGATACAGTAACTGAGGTAATGGAGTTAGAAGTGTCAGAGACAAGTTACATGGCTCAGAGTAGGACAGGGTTTAGAGCTACTGTATATAGGGCTGCTATGAGTTGCAGGTGACTTGATAATACAGAGTAACAAAAATAAGTTCAAATCGAGGCTGAAGAAATGAAAACAAGTCCACAAGAACCAAAATATGACCCTCAGTCTATCTCATCTGAATTTAAAACATAATAGGTTTGAATGAAGAGCTGTTTAAAAGAGTATATGATTAGGCATTATATTTTTTATATTTAAAAAAATAATTTAAATGAAAGTTTACAGAGACTTAGGGTTTCCAGTCATTCATTGTTGCACTTTTCTCCCTGTCCACCCCCTGACCCCATTTACTCTTCTTGAAAGGAAAAACTCTCATGGTTATGCAATCCCTCCCAAGTCCACTCCACTATGCAGCCTTCACTCTGGAATTCTGTAATGACAAGAATACCCATTCATATATCCCTTTTAAACAGTTCTCTCCCTCATCTGTTTCAATGAAATATACATCACTCCTCCCCTCCTTTTCAACAAAATATACATCATTCCTCCCCTCCTTTTCTGTCTTCCCTCAACCCTGATGTCAGTCCCATTTTACAAGTCCTTTTGTGACTGCTGAGATATTTCGCTCAACATAATGTCCTCCAGGGTTAGCCATTTTACATATTTCATGAGTTCCTTATTTTTCCAATGCTGCACAGTATTCCATTGTGTGAATATACCAGAGTTTCTCTATACATTCATTTTTTGATGGACACTTGGCTTGTTTCCAGCTCTTTGCTATTGCTAACAAAGCCACAATAAACATGGGTGTACATATATCTTCTTGGGTGGCCATTATTATTTTTTAAATTTTATATTAGTTTGCTCAAAAATTTCATAAATGTTGTTAGGCATTATTTGTACAACAGTCCAGAATAAGAGGTGCATAGCAAAGTGGACTGGGAGAGGGAGAAAATTATATCACAATTTTATTATTTTTTTAAAGTGAACTGGGAAGGTAGGGAGCAAAGTGTGTAACAATGAATGAATGAAAACCCAATTTTTCCATAAACTTTCATTAAAATCACAATTTAAAATATTTAATAATAAAATAATGTTTGAGACATTGAACACCAGTGATTGAAGACCAGATTAGTTGTAGAATGACATCAAGGATATCATCCATGAAAAGAGATAAAAGTTCATTACAAAGACAGTGGTGAAAGACCAAAACTGATGTCAGACAGACTGAAAATTATACTAGATTGTTGAACAAAGGAAAGAGACACTGACATAAAAGAGCAAACAGATGATTGAAAAAGGCAACTCCAGAGACGAGGTACTCTGACTGGATGTGCAGGTAGCTGTAGCTGAAGAGTGAAAAATGGGGTTGGCAGGAGTTGGGCCTGGGGTTGGCAGGGTCCCCTTCAATGTGTGTATGGTGCAGTCCCAGTGGGGTTTCTTCCATGGCAACCAAGGACATCTGAAGGCAGCAAGAAGCTCTGACCATACAATACCTGAAGTCACTTCTGAGGGTGGTGAGTTCATGGAGGGAACACTGAGTGGGCAGGTGGAGCTGGACAAAGGGGTGTTCCAGAGGCTGGGGCTGGAGACCGAGGACAGAGCATGATGGGGCTGACCTTGGGATCCAGCAGACACCTGACCGTAGCCTCCACCCCAGCTCCCCATGTCCTTGTCCAGAAAGCAGAGGCTCCTCCAGTCCAGTCCCAGAGACCAGAGGGGTAAGGTTCCTGAATGTCTCCACTGTTTCTGGTCTCCCTTTTTCTAAGCCTCTTGTTCTCCTTCTGTCCACCATACCCCGGGGCCCTACTCCAGCACTGTGGCCCTCCACGGAGGGAAGAGGGGCCTGGAAATTCTGAGGACATCTGCCTATGCAGAGGACATGGATGGGGAGGCAGAGCTGCCTAACTGTAGACCAGTACCCAGCTGGACAAAGCTCTGATCAAAGACCCCCGCTGGAACAGAAGACACACAGTTTAGCCCATGATGCCTTTATTAGTTCACAGAGGCCCTTTCTATTTCCTCTGGCAAGGCAGCCTCATCCCTGTGGCCTGCTCCAGACTCAGACCTCAGCTCTGGCCAGAAAATGGGCTCTTGCTGCCCACCCTGTGGTCCATCTGGGCTGCTGGATTATCCCTGAGGTGGGGGATGGGGTAGGGTTGGGGTGTCGGTGACCAGTGGAGCCGGGGGTACCCTGGCAAGCCAGCAGGTAGGGCAGCATGCTGCCTGTGTCCACTCTGGCAGCACTGGCTAAGGCACTCAGGGCTGCTGTGTCCTGCTGAGTGAGGGTCTGAACCACAGGCCTGCGGACACCCATCTCAACAGAGCATAGCTATTTCTTCCGCCGAGGGAACCGAGGTCCACTGCTGCAGTTGTTGGGGGCTGAGGTGGCCTGTTCCGTGGCTCCGGGATCCTTCTTGGGGGCTTTCTTGTGTTTCTCCTCCTTACTTGGTGCGGAAGCGTGAGAGAGGAATAGGGTCTGCACCACTGTGATGGCCCCCACGGCCACAAGGAGCCCCCAGAGCAGGACGGGGGCCTCCAACGGAGACAGCTGGGTCCGTACCCAGTGCAGCGCCTGGGACAGAAAGCTGGGGCTGGGGGGACGTGGTGGACTCTTATCCTGTGTGGAGACATGGTAAAGATGGTCCAGCGCAATGGACCCTCACCCCAATAACCCCTCCGCCCGCTGACATCTACTACCTTAAGTCCAAACTGTGTGAGCAGCATCTCCAGCGTGGGGTCCCCCAGGGTCACGGGCGGGAAGAATTGCTCCACCCACTGGCGCCGCCACCACAGGCTGTGGAGGGAGAGGTGGTCAGTGTGCGGAGGGAGAGGTGGTCAGTGTGTGAGGGCCCCAGCCCGGGCACTCACCCAGTACCCCGACTTACCTCTGCTCTCCAGGTTGTGAGAACCAGTACTTGTATCTCTGGGCACGCACATAAGTGGGCGGCTGCTTGTGGAAGGGGTACCTGGTGAGGTCGTTCTGTATCAGTCGGATCACTGCGGGGATGGAGGGGGAACTCAGCTCTTCCTGGTCACCTCACAACCCCAGAGGTGGTGGGCCTATCTGCCGAAGGCCATCAAGGCTGAAGCTCTTTGCAACTGGCTCTAGCTGGTCATGATGATCTAGCTTTGGCCTTACTGCCTTTCTCCAGGCTCTGCCTCGTTCCTCTTTGACCCTCTCCCTCCCCCCTTCCCCTCCAAGTGCAAAGCCGAGGTCATTGAGTCATTGTCCTTGTTCTCCTGCAGAGAAGCCAGTGCATTCAAAGCACTAAAAAGGCAACTGGCTCCCTCTTTCTGCCCGCCCCTCCCCTAGACCCGCCCTCCTGCAGACGGCCCCGCCCCCTGCCCACTTCCGCCCCTGCCATTGGCTCGGCCTCTGCCTCAAGCCCCTCCCCTGACTTACTTGCAGCCCCACCCCTCCTGATTGCCCCGCCCCTCTGCCGTTCCTGGCCCCTCCCCCTGAAGCAGTTAGGAGCAGGCCCATGGAACAGGGTCTTGGTGTCCTTGGCTCCAGCCCTGCCCACATTCTGTACTCTGGCGCCCCTTCCTCACCTGCCTCCTCCCCCTGCAGCAGTCGCAGGACCAGGCTTGTAAACCACGGACTGTGTGTGTGTGGGCCCAGTGCTGCAAACCACATCTGCCAGTCCAGGCGAGGCTGGTGGGGGACTACGATGGGCGGTGGTCGGCTCAGATTGCCGGGCTTATACATGAACTCGATTTCCTGATGAAGGTGGAGCTAAGGTCAATGGCCAGCTGGGCTGTGCCCACCTGGCTCCCGTGGAACCAACTATCAGCAGCTCACCGTCCATTGGTGTCCATCATAGCTGCCCTCCAGTACCACCTCAGGCCGCCCTCCCAGCCCAGTCATCCGGCGGAAGAGGCCATAGGAGCTGGCCAGCTGCAGGTGCTCCACGGAACTGAAGAGGCGGTGGGCTCCAGTCCAGAGCCGCCCGTGAGTGTCTGGCTCAACGTAGGAGTAGGGCACCTGGGTGGGGGCAGAAGCTCAATGTGGTTCCAGCACCTGCAGCCAAGCTTCCCACACCATCTCCCCCAGTGACCCACCAGGCTGATGGTGAACATGGCCACCGTGGCCATGCCAAGGACGAACAGCTGCACCGCAGACCAGAGCCGCCACAGCCACCCGCGTACCTGTGTCCACCTAGAGGAACAGGGGGTGGGTGGGCTCGTGTCAGGCCTGGGTCCTATGCCGTCCCCACCCCCATCACAGGCCTGTGTACCTCCAGAGAGCTGTCAGCAGCTCCCAGGTGAGGGAGGCCCCACCCAGCCACATGGTGGGCAGGGTCACCGCTTTCAGCCACTGGGAGAACTGGTGGAAGGTGAAGTCTGTGGAGGAGGGAGCATGGGTGAGAGCAGGTGGAGGGGAGCGACCCGGCCTCCCACCTCTCACTGGCACTCACTGGTTCTGGTGTGGACACTGTGTTGTTCCCAGTCCACTTCCAGGTTGAAGTAGTGTGTGGTGCCATAGGCCAGCAGTCCATACACACCCAGCTCCAGCAGCCTGGCCAGCCAGGACAGCAGGGTCTTGGGCCAGGCTATGAGAAATACAGTCACTGGTGGATGGGATAGGGACTGTGGGCAAGTGGGTCACGGGGGAGGACAGTCACGAATGGGTTGGGTGGGGCTGCGGGGAGGACCGTCACAGGTGGATGAGGTTGAGAAGGACACACTGGGAGCCTGGGTGAGGGACACCTGGCACTCACAGGTGGGTAGCTTCCTGTGGCGGCAGTGCCCCTGCTCAGCACGCAGGTGCCAATCATCCAGCAGGGAGGTACTGAGCACCAGGGTGAGCAGGTTGAAGAAGTTGTAGTTGCCTGTGATGATGATCAGGACCTGCAGCAAGACCTGGGGACAGGAGGGTCTGTGCACAGAGATTCCGAGGGCTGTTCCCCGAGAGCTGCTGTGATGGTCCCCACACAGCCTGACTGCCTCCGTCTCTGTCTCCACTGCAGACAACCCGCCTCCACAGCCCCTGGCCCATTCTTCCCATCAGCCCTCAGCTGTTGCTGGACCCCAGCACACAGCACATGATCCTTCCCCAGTGGACCCCTGCGGACCTAGAGGCTGACAAAGGACAATGTGGCTGCAGCAGCCCACCTCAGGCCTCCACACCTCCGTCTTTGTCCCACCTCCAGGAGATCGTACGTTCTTGGTCCTTACTACACGCCCAGTTTTGGCAATAACACTCCATTTCTGTTGCATCCTGTTATTTCTTTGCAAGTGTAGCCTCTGCCTGGGCACGGCAGAGGCCAGTCCACCCACCTGGGAGTAGAAAGCTGCCAAGCGCAGGCGGCGGAGAGGGGCGAAGAACAGTGGCGGCACTGCGATCTCTATGAGGAAGGTGGCAGCCACGCTGAGCTTGTGCAGCCAGACGGGCAGGTGGTGGGCAAACCAGGCAGCAGGTGTTGGCAGGCACTGTGTCTCGTAGTGGTAAGTGAGGGCTGCAGGGGCAGGCAGGTAGGCAGTCAGGGACAGCTGGAGCTCCCAGACTAACCCAGGCCCAGACTAGCATTCTCACCTGTGAGGCCCCACCATGCAGGGCAGCGGCTGGTCAGCTTGACCACCCCCGAGGCGAACATGAGCCGGAAGAGCAGCCAGCGGACTAGCCAGAAGGGGAGAGCTTCATGGGGCGCAGCTCCTGCCAGCTCGCCCTGAGGGGCCTGCTTTCCAAAGGGGCGCTGCCACAGCGGGGCCACCAGAACTGCTAGGAAACCAGTCTCCAGGAGCAGCGAGTCCCTGTTGGGAGGAGAGGGTACTAAGGGCTCCGCTTATACCGGCCAGGCCCAGGGAGTCCCGACTCACACCCGCCCAGGGCCCTGGCCACTCACCACTGGAAGTAGAGGAACACCTGGCCCACCTGCAGGGAGAGGGGCTGTCAGGGCCAAGGGGTGTCTGGGTGCCAGGTGGGCCTGAGATGTGGGGGGCAGGGGTGGTCCCACTTGCCTGGCAAACTGACAGGTAGGCAGCCCAGAGAAGCAGGTAGGTGAGGCGGTGGCGCAGTGGACGCAGCAGGAGCGCGCTCAGGGCCAGCAGGGTGCCCAGCAGGCTCAGCAGCTCCAGGCCCTGTGCCGTGTCCAGTCCCAGCCTTGGTGCTTCCCAGAGCAGCGACGGAGTCTCCCAGAGCTGCTGCCAGCGCCCCTTACCCTGCGGCCGAAGGGTCCTCCGAGCTGGGAGGATGCCCCGGGAGCCATAGAGGCCTGCGGGAGGAGACCCCAGATCAGGGCCGGGACACTGCTTCCTGAGGCCGCCTGCAGCCCTCCCCTACCCCGCCCCCATCGGGTTCTGCCCCCATGCCAAGTCAGAACCCAGAACTCTCTGGGAAAGCAGCCATTGCTCACACATCCGCCTCCACCATCCGCGACCCCACACGCCACGGCCGGGCCCTCATTCCCGTCCTCCATCCCAGATCGTGGACGTTGGGCCAGGAATGAACTCAGGACCCACACAGCGGGCCGGGGGATGTCCCACCCTCGGCTCCCTCACCCGGGATCTGCATGTAGAGAGAAGCGAAGGCGAACATATAGACGGCGGCCACGCCCTGGAGGAAGAGCTGCCTCGGGACTCCGGAGCCCGCCATGTCCGCTCCGAGGTCCGGTGCAGAAGAGAGTGGGCCCCGCCCACCAGACAGGGCCCGCCCACCAGGCCCGCCCACCAGACAGGGCCCGCCCGCCAGGCCCCGCCCCGTACAGGAAGTGCCAGCCCCTTCCCTTTGAGGCGATGTCGCGCCCCGACGCCAGCCCCGCCCTCGGCGCGTGCGCAGTACTTCCAAATGTGCATGGCCTCCCGCCCGCCCGCCCGGACTCACGTGTACGTCATCGGTGCGCGCCCTGCGACGCTCTATGTACTTTTCCTGGGCGGGAACGGCAAAATGGCGCCACAAGTAGTGGCGGGCTGAGGGCTCTGGTTACTCGAGAAGCCACTGGCCTGAGTGCCTCCACTCCCTGGGTGCGCCCCGTCCCTTGTGGACATGGAGGACGTGGAGGCGCGCTTCGCGCATCTCCTACAACCCATCCGAGACCTCACCAAGAACTGGGAGGTGGACGTGGCGGCCCAGCTGGGCGAGTATCTGGAGGAGGTAGGGCGGCCGGGGAGTGGCGCGCGGCTTAGGTCGCGGCTGGGCGCGGGCGATCCGCCCCTTCGTCGGCGGCCGCTCCCTGCGGTCTTCCCTCACTCTGTCCTCGCTTCCCGACGGCCTGTTCTCGTGCCGGTAGTTGGAGTCGGGACTGCAGGTTCCGCGGGGGCTGCCGTTAGCTGTGTCCGGCATCGCTCCCCGACGGGGCGGAGAGGACCGGGCAGCACCGGCGGCATCTTGCTTTAGTCGTGGGTGGGTGCGGTGGGACCCCACCATGGCCGCGTCCACCCCGCAGCATCTGAAGGCCGCTCGCCGGCCTGCCCCGCGCGGCAGCTGGCCCTTCCTGGGTCCTCAGGCCGAGGGACACCTCCGCGAGCCGCCGCCCCCGCGGCCTTGCCGTCGGGTTTCCCATCTCGCTGGCTACGCACCGGCCCCCTCCGACCGTCGCCTTGCCCTCCGATGGCCCCGTCCCCTTCCGATGACCCAGTCCCCTTCCGATGGCCTCATCCCCCTCCGATGACCCCGTCGCCCTCCGATGGCCTCGTCCCCCTCCGATGGCCTCGTC